TAATATGCTATTATTTTAGTTGTAAATTGTAAGTTAAAAATCACCTGGGGAGGTCACTTTGATGAATGTTCTCCTTGTTTATCACCAAATTCCACAAATCCTCTTGAAAATAAAAAAAAAATGGAGAAAATAATGAATTATGATTTAATTGAACAGGAGTATTAGAATGACCACTAAGGTGTCTTATAATGTTTGAGCCATATTTTTCTTCTTCAGATATTCCTATGTCATAAAGAAACAAGACCCAAGATTGCCATAATAGTTCATAATGGACAAGCCATTTATGCATAATTATGTCTTTGAACCTGGTAACAATTCTATTATTAATAGTTTGATGTCTATACATACATAAACTGCATAAAGGCACATATTTTGGTATATTTTTGCAGTAATATGTCCTCAGTACCTAGAACAGTGCCTGGCATGTAGTATAAATTAATAAATAGTTGTTGAATAAATTTTTCTTATCTCTTTTGATGTGTGAAGAAACCTCTGGAGCTCAAAGAGATTACCCAACCTGTGCAAACCACATGGCTAGTAAATGGCAAAGCCAAATTTAAAACTTAGCTCTCTAGAGTCATTACTAAATGCCAGAAACTCTATATCTGATTGCTCCAGGCTTGGGTACTGGGGTAGCTGCTGAGAGGTAAAAGATGACTAAAATATGGTTTGTGAAGAGATTATAGTCTCGTGGAGAAAAGAGACACACTCAGATATAAGAAATTTAAAACAATGTGGGGGGAAAACTTGTTATGAAGATTTCTGCAAAGCATTATGAAATCCCTGAAAATGAAAAACTGAATTTTCTAATTGTAGGCATCTGTGACTTCTACATAGACTTTGTTTTTGAAATGGACTTTAGAACATGATTAGATTGACAGGTGAACAGAATGGGGTTGGAGGTTGGGGGCTAGGCACTGCTGGCAGGAAAAAAAAAGCTTGTGCATAGATATTGCAGGTTTATACAAAGGTGACTCGCTGTGAAGACAAAAATCATTTGTCACTGGGGCATCAGGTGTTTGTTTTAGGAGTTGAAAGAGATAACTGAAAGATTCATTGGCATCAGGGAAGGATCTTTAACATCAGCATAAGGCATTTGCTCCACTTTTGTAGGCAATGGAAATTCATGAAAGGGTTTCAAGCATGGCAGTGATATGACCAAATTTACATTTTTGATATATTGTTCTGGTAGTAGGTAGAGGATGGATTAGAGTGAGGAGGCACAGAAAATATTGCAGTGAAAATTATTAGAAATCTGATAAAAGGAACCTGGGAAAGAAATGATGGGGTACTCAACTTGACCAAATAGTCAGTGGAGTTGAGGAAAAGGAATGGCACAGAAAAAAAATTTAGGGTAAAATATTTAGCCACTGCATGAAGGTGATGATGAACACGAAGGATCTAATGAGACCCTTATGTTTCTGGATTCTGGGTAGATGGTGATACGAATTAATGACAGAAGGAGGTGAGTTTTTGAGTGAGATGATGGGCTTGGGTT